TAAAATAAGAATTGTTCAGATTCTGTTATGCTTGATGACTGCGTGGTGACAGTGATGGTTTAGTGTGAATATTCTCCGGCCGTCAGCTTCTCAGCATGAAGGCTTCCGGGAGCCAGTCTTTAAAATGACTTTGGAGAGGGTGAACCTGGGCTTTGTGTAGTTAAAATTTCCAGGGCCGGCCGAACTGCTGTGGATTGCCAAATCCTGCCCTTCCAAGGGGAACGTGTTGTTGAGCTTGCCTGTCAGCCTCTCCCTCCCTTTGTATCAGCAGCATCCCCACATCCCTGCCTCTTGGGGCCGAGGTTCAGAATCACTTGACTTTGACATCCACCCCAGCAAGTCCACTGCGTGTTCACCCAAGGAGGAGCCCCTGCTGCCCTCTGCACTCTGCCAGGCCCCTGTCTCTTCTCTTCTCACTCGTACCACCCTACTCTCAGGCCTAGGAGTTCTGGGGTTTTCCTTTCTCTTTCTCAGTGCCATGTAGATTTTAGTGACCCATTTTATTGGTGCAGAAGCTGTGGTTAAGAGTTGAACTTCTTCTAGATCCACAGCTGGTGTCTGCCAGTCTCCAGGATCTCATTGTAATTTTGCCTCTCTAGTAGGTTAATATGTCTGGAGTTTTTAAACTGGATTTTCCTTGTAGAATAATTGTTTTCAACTTCTTTGCAGTTGCACATGAGTGTGCACACAGAATTATACAGATGTGCGCACACACACACACATACACACACTCTATAGTGGAATTGCCCTGTATGACATCTTACAGATATTTGTTTCCCCAGGAAAATGTCCATATCATTTGGCAAATCAGGGCTGCAGGCCACCAGCCTCCCTGAGGTGAGTCACAGGCTAGTAGTGGTGATACTGAGCTGGTTCAGGGGAGTATCTTCCCCCCTAGTGACCTCAGCTCTGAATGTCGATGGCGTGTTTGGGGATCTGGGTGGATGGATGTTCTCCTGCTGGGTGAGGAGGGGGGTCCAGCCCCAGCTCCCCAAGCTCTTTCTAGGTGAGCTGAGTGTTTGTTCCTTGCTAAGACCATTGTGCTGCTTTTGCTGCTGCTGCTTCTCTTTTGGAGGAGGAGGAGGAGGAGGAGGAGGAGGA